GAAAGTTCACTTAAGGACAAGTAAAGGACAAGTTTGGGGGAGTTGATATGTTGCATATTTACTTGGTTTTAACCTTGCATTCTTGTCCATGTTGAGCATATAGATTAGATTTACGCATTCTTAGGTTGCATTTTGTATTCATTTGTCTTTATCAGGTGGTGGAACATGCTATGGAGTTCTTGGAGGTGTTTGAGATCAATTATGTGCCAAAAGAGAGTGCAAAGATGTCATTTGGCGAGCCGGAGAAGCCACAGCGGAGTCAAGAGGTCGCTGCAAGCAACACCAGCCGGAGCGGGGTCACGGGGCGGAGTCAGGGGGTCGGCCCTTGGCAGCGGGGCTAGGGGGCTGCTAGCCTTTTCCGAATGAAAAAGAGAGCATTCACAGCGGCCCTTGGCAGCGGGGTCGGCACTCCGCTGTGAGCTCCGGAGCGGGGTCTTGTCAGCGGGGTTGTGACCCCGCTGTGCGTCTTTTATGTGACGCAAATGTTGTTTCGAGGACCATTTTGCAATATTCGTTTTTTATGTTTTGAGTTTCAGAAACCTAATTAAAACTACTCTGTAAGCCACCATTGGAGAAAAATCTTTTGTTCTTGAAGAAAACTTCTTTTGATAGAGATTTTCATTGCTTTCGTCTTGTGTTTTTTTGTTGATTTCTTATCTATTTCTTTACATGATTAATCTGAAATCCAATATGAGTTTAAGAGGAATCATGGAGATTAGTGAGTAATCACCTTTTGAATTCATGGGTTAGGGAGATTAAGGGTGATTAGGTTAGATTTGGGATGTTTTAGTGTTAGATTTCTCTTGTTACTTGCTTATTAGAGTAATCATAATGCCTCTTTTGAATTGATCACTCAAAGGTTGATCTCTAGATATTTCCCACTCACAAAGTGTTCGATGAAATGTCTGAGTCAACTCTCTTAAGCTTTTAACAGTCTTTACCAGGGACACTTGTTGTTAAACGTGTTAAGATGGCTAATAGATCTAATCCTAATGATTACTTTCATAATATTCAACCAAAGACATTTGATGCTTGAGTTATGGTAGTAAATGAACATTCATCTAGACATAGAGCTTGTTTAGAATCGTATCTAGGCCTAAGGTAGACAGTTTAATTGATCGCTTGTCATCCTTAGATCGAAACTTGATCACCCAAGGTCAAATTCCCTATACCCATGAGTTCTCCTTTATCTTCATTGTCAAAGTTATATCTTTTATTGCATTCTAGTTATAGTTAACCTTAAAAACCAATCAATCACATGATCGCACTTAGATTAAGCTAGTACTTGCATTCTCGGTGCTTTTAAATCCCTCAGAACTGGTTCGACAATCATCTATACTACAACATTTGCTTTAGGAGCCTTGAAAACTCCTAACATCAGGGGGCTCTCGTAGACGTCCTCCAAAACGTGTGCGTAAGTTCAGAACTAAGCCACCAGGAGTTGGGAGTGTTGGGGAGGAGGATGCAGAGTCGTTATCAGAGAATGTGGTTACTAAGAGAAGAGCAGAGGAAATGGCAGGGAATTTTGCTAAAACCGCAAGGCGTACCAACTCAGAGGTGGTCCCAATAGGGGGACTGCGGAATTAGTAATGCGGATATTGAGCTGGAATTGTCAAGGATTGGGACGGTCTCAAAACTTGACAATTCCCCGTCTAAAGGAAATACGTATAATATATATATATGCCGGAGATGATTTTTCTTATGGAAACGAAAAAAAAAAACAAAAAGTGGTTACTGATTTGCAAGTGTCTTTAGGGTATGATAGAATGTTTCAGATTGAGCCATGTGGCTTGAGTGGTTGTTTGGCGTTAATGTGGAGGCAGGAAGTAATTGTAGATGTGAAGTTTGCTGATAAAAATGCTATTGACTGTGAGGTCATTTATGGAGGGCTCAAATTCTGGGTATCCTTTGTGTATGGTGAACCGAGCCGGAGAGGAAAAGAGAGGATCTGGGACGGTTAATGAGGTTTGGTGTCGGTCGAAAGGAACCATGGTGCATGGCGGGAGATTTCAATGAAATTTTAATTAATGAGGAGAAGATAGGGGGCCTAAACGGAGTGATACCTCTTTTATGGGTTTTGCGGATATGCTAAAAGTCTGTGATATGGCCGAGATTTCTGGAGTGGGAGATGGTTTCACGTGGGCCGGGATGAGATATCAAAAATATATTCAATGCAAGCTCGATAGATGTTTTGCGAACAAAGAGTGGAGGAGAATTTTCTACCAAGCTTCCCAGGAGTTTATGAAGAAATTGGGATCAGATCACAGGTCGGTGATGGTCCATCTGATTAGCCAAAATACGAGGAAGAGAGGGACTTTCCGTTTTGATAAGCGGATGGTGGGAAAATGTCGGGTGAATGAGACGATACATGAGGCATGGATGAGGTCCAGAGGTTTGGGGAACTCAAATATATTGCAGAGAATTGGTGTGGTCAGAAAGGCTCTAAGTCAGTGGAAGAGGGAGAACAATAACAATTCTAATGTGAGGCTGCAGCAGTTAAGAGATGATCTTGAAGTGGCAACTTCATCGACATCACCTGATTTTGTGATGATTAGAGAATTGAAAAACAATATTGGCAAGGCTTTCAAGGAGGAGGAAGATTTCTGGAAGCAAAGGAGCAGAGACAAGTGGCTGGTGGTAGGAGATAATAATACAAGTTTCTTTCATGCTTCTATGAAAGCCTCTAGACAACAAAATCAATTAACTAAGTTGATGGATGACGAAGGAATTGCTGCTACTTCCAATGCTCATATGGGGAAGGTAGCCACAGAGTATTTTGACAGGCTGTTTAAATCAAATGGAGTCACTGAGACAAATGGTTTTTTCAATGGTTTTGAAGCCAAGGTAACAGAACCTATGAACCAAATATTGATTAAAGAGGAATCAGCGGAAGAAGTGCGTGCTGCAGTCTTTGCGATCAAACCCTTGAGTGCACCAGGTTGTGACAGAATGAATGGGTTATTTTTTCAACAGTATAGGGAGATTATTGGATCTGATGTTATCAGAGAAGTAAAGGCTTTCTTCCAAACTGGTGTTTTCCCGGAAGAGTGGAATTTTACTCAAATTTACTTAATTCCTAAGATAGCAAACACGACGCTGATGGTAGACCTACGATCTATAAGTCTATGCTCGGTCATGTACAAAATAGTCTCGAAAATATTGGTTTCTAGGTTGAACCCCATGCTTGAGCATATTGTATCACAAACCCAAACTGCTTTTGTACCGGAGAGATTGATATCAGACAATATTATTATTGTCCATGAGGTGGTTCATGGCCTGAGATCACATGATAGAGTATCTAAAGAGTTTATGGCAATAAAAACTGATATGTCAAAAGCGTATGATAGAATTGAGTGGAATTATCTTGATGAACTTCTCAAGGTTATGAGGTTCCACCAGACTTTCAGAGAGTGGATTATGTTTTGTGTGAGGTCTGTGACGTATACCGTTCTGATTAACGGCGAAGAGCATGGGAAGATAAGACCGGGTAGAGGCTTGAGATAGGGAGATCCTTTGTCGCCCTTTCTCTTTGATCTGTGTACTGAAGGTTTATCCCATCAACTAAATGAGGCAGAGAAGAGAGGGGAGATAAGGGGTATTCAGTTCTCGGATTAGGGACCATCAATACACCACCTCTTTTTTGCTGATGATTCTCTGTTAATATTGAAGGCAGAGGAGGCTGAGTGTACTTCAGTATGCAAAGTGCTGAATCTTTATGAGGAGATCTCCGGTCAGTTAATTAATTTTAACTAGTCGGCGATTACCTTTGGCAAAAAGATTGGAGATGGAGTAAGAGTAAGGATCAAAGAAATGACTGGTATCACCAATGAAGGAGGGATGGGAAAGTATCTTGGTCTACCAGAGTGTTTTAGTGGTTCAAAGGTGGAGATGTTACAGTATATTCAGGAGAAGATGCAGTCCCGGTTTCATGGATGGTATGGCAAGCTATTATCAGCAGGAGGTAAAGAGGTTTTGCTCAAATCTGTGGCGATGTCAATGCATGTTTTTGCTATGTCAGTCTTTAAACTCCCGAAGGTCACTTGTCAGAACATCACCAGTGCAATGACAAATTTTTGGTGGAATACTCAAGAAGGAAAAAGGAAAATTAATTGGGTATCATGGGAAAGAATGTGTCTTGAGAAAAAGAATGGTGGACTAGGATTTCGAGACTTAGATGTTTTGCCCGCATTTGCGGGTCTAAACATTTTAGAATTATTTTATTAATACATATTTTACTAATTGAAAAATTATAATGATAAAATATTATTTCTGTTTTATTTTTGAAACCAATAATATATATTTGTATTTTAATTTAAACATTCTTACATATATTTGTTTAACAGTATTTTCACTATTAAAAATAAAAATAAAAATCAGATAATATTTTCTTTTAAATTATATAAAATTAAGAAGTGTACTTGATTAATATTTAGTTATGTATTTTGTATTGTTATAATTTTTAACTTCTTTATTAAAATATATTTTCAGATAACTACACAATATATATAGGAATTATCTTATTTAAAAACATATTATTTATAAATATATTATTTAAATTTTGGATAATTCTTTTGATTTTAAATTTTGGATAATTCTTACGATTATTATTAATTTAATTATTTATTTAAATCAAAATAATTTAAATTCATTTTTATTTTTATGTAATTTATATATTTTATTCATTAAGAGTATAAACGATATTAAACACTCCAATTTTTAACATGGAAATTTTGTTGCGAAAAATCACTTCACAAATAATAGTATAGATTATTGATGTATTAATTTATTGAACATTAACTTATAGTTTTAAGAAAAAACAAAATTGTTGTTATTACAAAAAAAAAGGTCGGATTATTAGCTGTGCTTTGATTTAAGGCAAATATCTAGCTTTGAAGACGTCATGATCCATGTGGTTCGTACAGATAGACAAATGAAGCAGGCAACATATTTTTCACAGAATTTTATTCATTTGATGGATCTCACATGTGATATTCACTAGCAAGTAATCAACAAAGTACATATATAAACAGAAAGATACATTAAATTAACTTAACAAATAATAAAATCAAATATGATTTATGAGAGATAAATAAATTACATAGAGACATGAAGGTTAAGACTATTAATAAAACATCTCGCAGAACATGCTATGATGTTTTCTTTCGTTAGTATTTTGTCTTGACAACGATTTTTGCAGTAGCTGCATAATGGTCGAGAAATTTGGCTTTTGCAATGAATTTGAAACTTTCGTCCATATATTTTCAAAGATTGACCATGCTTCAGATATGGGTCATAACCAACTAAACATTGAACATGAACTGTGATACAACATTCGTCGCACCAATAGATCATGTTTGTGTTTGTATCTCTCAAATCATGCTCGCATACCTCACACCAACTTTTGCTACATATTTCTTCCCCCCACAGAATTCTGAGAAAATGTTTATCATGCTTATACCTTACTTTGTATGGTAAGGTAATGCATTTAATGCATATAATAAAATCACAGATGATGCAGTTTAACTGCTTCTCACATTGTATTTTGCATACATGACATACAGGATTTTGTTCTGGGTTTAAGGCTAAGTACAAGGGATGTTCATGACCTTGGTAATCAACCGGTTCAGATACTGAAGCACACCTTATATCCAGATAGAAATCACATTCCTTTAAATGGCACCCATAATTAAATCCATTGCATAAACGATAACAAGCATCACAACCGTATTGACCAGCTTTATATGGACTCACAAGGTTCAATGTAAGTGGATGAGGATGAAACGCATGTTGTAGCTTACGGGCAGAATTTGCGCATGTTTCATGAAGGATGAAATCACACTCAATACAAGAATAGAGATTACCTTCAAATATAGGCAGAACACATGCTTGACAAAACTTGTTTTCGTCATAAAGCATGCTGACTTGGAGGCAGAGATGATGTTCATGAAGGAAATGGAGTATAACTCCTTCAGATATCATAATGAATGGTACAACATCTGGTGTTATATCATCTTCTTCTGGTACACCTTCAAGATCTTTTCCGTCCCACGCATCTTCCCGTAGAGCACATATTGAATGAACAAAATAATCACAACACTTATCACAAGTATATGAACCATAATCGTTCTCAATACTTTTGCGACAGACTCCGCAAAACCATTCCCCGGACCGGAGATAAGAAGTGTAGGAGATACGATGATGGTGACGTGATATTTTGATGATACTTGGAAAAAACATACAATCTTTGTGAGCTATAAAGTTGCATTTGACACATATGTGGGTGGGATACAATTTTCTCAACAAGCCACAAACGTTGCAAGTTAAAGAAGCTGCTCTGGGGAAAAAGCTGAGAGGATGGTCATGCCTTTTTGGTTGGTCTATAACAAAGGGTATTGGTTTCATTGCACAAACCGGAGACATGAAACCTTCACATATGGAACAATAGTATATTAGACCACATGCTACTCTTCCACAACATAAACATTTGATGATGGAAATACGAAAGTAGAAGAGAGAATGAAAGTAAAGTTGGAGAGAATGCTGAGAGTGATAAGGGGAATTTATTTTAAGTGGAGACTGAACACATTCTCTGTGATACTTTTCATCACACGAGACACAAAGATAATAGTCTGTGCCGAAATTAACACCTTTGCATATGAAACACCCACCATCTATTTCATTGTCTTTATTGTTGCACCAAAACAAAGGAAGTACGAAATGGTTAACATCATCATCTCTTGTAGAAAATAGATACTCCGGAGAAGAAATGATCGGATAAAATATAGAACTATGAGGTGCTTCTTTATGTGCAACACGGATTCGTGCAGCTGGACATAGGAAAAGAGATTGTGATGTGTGGTTGTTGATTATTGTTTCATTGGAGGAGGATGAGCTTTGAATTTGAGGTATGGGATGGTATTTTGAATGGTGATATTCAAAAAATAGTTTACCATCTTTTTCAATTCGATGAAATTCACCAGAGACGTCATCCATGGATATTCTCAGTTTCTCTATCAATATATTGTTTTTTTTTTTGTCGAGAAGAAAAGTTGGATTTTGTGAATTATTTGGTATACAAAGCTAAAAATCTACACAACAATTTATATATAAGTTTTGAGTCATGAAATCTCTTTCAACTTCTAATTGTTGGATCCTTAACTTGAGACGACAAAAAAAAGTTAAATTCTTTTCTTTACTTTTGTGGAGATATTGTCCCTTTACTCACAAATAGAAAAGAATCAACTTTGTGAAATGTTTCCTTTGCATATTGTTTTCCTCTTCCATGAAATTATTCTTCAATTTTTTTTTTTTGCTTTTACTGATCGAGCATGTCGACCAACTGGCAACCAGAACATAAAATCGAGATTTCAGATTTAGCTCTATAGCTTAGTTTTTTTAAATTAAATTTCAATTTATAAGTTGATGTCTTCTTAAAACTATTAGTTTTACAAGAATATTAGGTGATTTTCGCGTGCTCATGCACGGACATAAATATTTATAAATAAAGATATTATCATAATTTATTGATATTTACTTTAAATTTTAAATTAATTTATAGTTTGTAGGTATAATTTATATTAATAATATTATATTAATTTAATTATATATATATTTTAGATATATTATATTCGTCAGTTTTATTGTTTTTACGGTTGATTTAGTTATCATTTGGATATACTAGATTCTATTTATTTCTCTGAATTCAACTATAATCTTTTTTATTCTATATATATTAATTTTTTGATTCATTGTCTTATTTGCGTTTATGCCAGTTGTTATCTTAAAAATATAAGTATATCTAGTAAGATTATGTATAACTTAAGATTTTTTGTGCATAGAAAGGAAAAAAATACTAAACTATCTGATTCTAAATTACATACATAAGTAATAAAAAAATTTACAGTATTTAGATTGGTTGGATGGTAAACTGAAATTTATTTTAAATAATTTTAAAATAAGGATTTTGATTTGCTTAAGTATTTTGACTATGGTTATATTAAGTTCCACAAACATAAAAACAGAAAATTAAAAATTAAAAGAGTTATTAAGAAAACATATAATTTTAACTATTAAAATATAATATATCTACTTCGCTAAATTATATAGTGTTATGATATTTTAAAATAATTTTAGTTATTTGATCAAAAAATGTTTATTATTAAAATTTATTTTTAGTTTTGTTTTTAATATCTCTTAAAATATGCAGTAAAAATGTTATTTTTGAGAAATTATATGATATAAGTAAAATAGAATTTATATTTTTTGATGTAAATGTTTTTAAAGTAAATATATGATAATAATTGATTACTATTTAGTTTTAATTTTAAATTAATTTATAATTTGTATGCATAATTTATATAAATACTATTATATTACTTTATTTATACTATAATTTTATATATGTTATATCTAGTCGATTTTGTTGTTTTTACGGTTGATTTTGTTATCAACTGTAATATTAATTAATTAATTATTTATTTCCATATAGTGGGTGTTGTTTTAGATATGTAAATATATTTTAGGAAAATTATGTATAACTTAAGATATATTGTGCTTAGTAATTAAAAATTAACTAAAGTGTTTGATTCCAAAATACGTAAATTAATATAACGATAATATTCTAAAGCCTCATGCATATATATAAATTTTACAAAAGAACTAAAATTGTAAGAGTTGGTTAATATTTATTTCATTTGTTAATATGTTTTGAATTATCTTATGATCAATAAAAAGTTACATGCATAAGTAGTTGATACATTTTTGGAAGCTCAGGAACACATATCAATATTTACAATAATTAAAATATTTATAAATTCTAAATAACCTTATGCTTTAGATTTCTTGAATGTAAACTGAAGTTTATTGTAAATAATCTTAAAATTAGGAATTCAGATTTGCTTTGGTGTTTTGATTATGGTTATATTTAGTTTCACAAACATAAAATTTAAAAGAAAATTTAATATTAAGAAAACAAATAATTTTAATAATGATAAAATATCATATATCTAGCTCGTTAAACTAAGTGTTAATTATTTGATCAAACGATGTTTATTGTTAAATTTATTTTTAGTTTTAATATCTCTTAAAAGAAGCACTACAAAAAAATTGTGATTCTATTTGAAAATAATATTATATAAGTAAAGTATAATTTATAGATAGTTTTCTGTAGTTGAAAGATATTATAGTCAATTAAATATATGAAAATAAATAAAAAAAATTCAATAATACTAATTATAAACTATTTTATTACTCTAAAAGTATACTTTATGTTATTTAAAAATATTTTTAAATATATTATTACTATTTTCTGAACTTTCTTTTTTATTGAAATCATATTATATATACATATAGTTTTTGTTTTCAAGTTTCTTTTATGGCTTTATACAAAAAAAAATCTTTTTTATTATATCTATTTTTGGAAATTTTTGAAAAAGAAAATAAATAAAAAAATTATTAACATTATTTTTAAATATTTTTTATTATTAGAGATATTAGTGTAGTGAAAGCGACACATGGAAAACTGACTTCTAATATAATAGAGATTAGTACTTTATTAATTTATTGAACGTTAACTTATAGTCTTAAGAAAATACAAAATTGTTGTTATTACCATAAAAGGCCGGATAATTAGCTGTGCTTTTGATTGAAGTAAAGCCCAGCCCAAACAGCGTCCAATAGCGTTGACAGGTGAATAAAAAACAAGGCAGGTGAGTCGCTTCGATGCTGTGATCGAAATGGCGTCGTCTTCTCCAACTCAGCGTACTCACGTCCCGATCCCTCCCGACCCAGGTCCCCTCTTCCATTCCGCTTTCTTGATCCTCCTCCGATTCTTACTCTCTTTTCCCAATCATCCCACCTCGCTACTGATTCTCCTTTCTGTTTCATCGTATCTCGATCTGCTTAATGATTTTTTTTTTTTGTGGCGTTGATCAATTGATCGATAAACAAACCGATTAAACGCTAAAACGACACTTCATCTGTTGATCGAAAAATGAAAGTGTTCCGTTAGAACGATTTGCGTGATATTCTGTTTTGATCTTATGGACTGTGGAATAAGATTTTAAGCGAGGAGAACTGAATGTATGAACTGGATTAGATCATTAACAGTATATATTGTAGATTAGAGTGTCCACATGTTAATTTAGCTTTTATGTATATTATAGATTCATTATTTTCATATTTCAGCAATTTGATTGTTTATTGTCATCCAAGATTCTTGATCTACAGTGACTGAGTTTTTTTAACTGTGCAGGAGGAGGAAGGTCACAGACACAGGATGCTAATGAGCAGCCACCTGTTCCTATTCACATAGTGACAGAGCCTTTGCAACTCCCCCCTGATTTCTTAAACCCTTCTTCTGAAAAGAAGCTGGTCATTGGTTTTGACTGCGAAGGTGTTGACCTCTGCCGTCATGGCAAGCTTTGCATCATGCAGGTCTGACCTAGAAATCACATACTGTTTAACTTTTCTAATGTTATATGTTTTAATGGAGGGAGATTTATGTGTGTTTGCAGATTGCTTTCCCTAATGCAATATACTTAGTTGATGTAATCCAAGGTGGAGAGGTGCTTATGAAAGCATGTAAGCCTGCACTCGAGTCTACTTACATCACAAAAGTTATTCACGATTGCAAACGTGACAGTGAGGTGTCTCAACTTCTTTTTTTTTTTATATATCTTTAGACTTTCATCACAGCATGTCTTTAACTATTATTTTGTTCTGTAACTACAGGCCTTGTATTTTCAGTTTGGGATAAGGTTGCACAATGTTGTGGACACTCAAGTATGGTTTTAACTCTCTTTGCTTGTAGTGTAATTTCTTGCATTAGAGAGAACCTTGATCTTGTTTTTTTTTTTTTTTCTTTCGGGCGCGCGCAGATTGCTTTTTCTCTGATAGAAGAACAAGAAGGCAGGAGGAGACCTCTAGATGATTACATTTCCTTTGTTTCCCTTCTTGCTGATCCACGCTACTGCGGTACATTTTAATATTATCATGTTAGTTTTATTTATGATTTTTGTCTTATTATTCTTGTTATGAGTACGGCTATACTGGTTTCAAACGAGCAAATGTTGTGCCTGCTTTGTTCTGGTCTATTTTGTGTGCCATGAAATAATGATAACAACATTTTGTATATCACTTGGTGACTGACTGGTGGTGAATCAATCCATTTACTTCTTTTTTTTTGGTTGTAGGAATATCGTATGAAGAGAAAGAAGAAGTTCGTGTGCTCATGCGGCAGGTTCATTACATTTCTTCTGAATCCATACTTCACTTCTAAATTGTAACACTATGATTCCAGAATGGATAAATGAGTCGTCCATAAACTTTCAAATTTTAGGACCCAAAGTTCTGGACATACAGGCCAATGACTGAGCTCATGATCCGTGCAGCCGCAGATGATGTCCGCTTCCTTCTCTATCTCTATCACAAAATGATGGGAAAACTGAGCCAGAGGTCACTATGGCATCTGGCAGTACGTGGTTCCTTGTACTGTAGGTGTCTTTGCTGCATGAACGATACTGATTTTGCTGGTTGGCCAACTATCCCTCCCATTCCAGGTTTGTGTGTGTGTGCATATATGACCTGTTCAGGATATTAACTAGGTTACTGTTAGCAGTCATAAAGATATATTTATATATAGAGAAAGAATGAAGTTAGCTTCAATGGATGGGTTTACTGATTGTTTTTACTGTTTCAGATAACTTGAAGATCGGGGATCAATGTCCCGAAGAAGAAATATTATCAGTGCTTGATGTTCCACCAGGAAAGATGGGACGTGTGATTGGAAGGAAGGGAGCATCAATCCTCGCCATTAAGGAAGCTTGCAAGTAATATACTCTCTCCTTCGCGTTGTTGTTGTTGTAGCTCTGAACTTGAACACCACGTCTGGTTTACTATAAGTGATGTTTTCCTCTGTCTTGCAGTGCGGAAATTCTAATTGGAGGGGCAAAGGGTCCACCTGACAAGGTTAGCTTTTAGTCCTATGTTGCATTAAATTATTGAATTGGTGGAAAGAAAGATGTATTTACTGTGGTTTGGTGCCAGATATTTGTGATTGGACCGGTGAAGGAGGTGCGTAAGGCGGAGGCGATACTGAGAGGAAGGATGATAGACTATTGAAGGGAGATGAAAAATTGAATTGTGATAAAAACACTTGAAACCCTTTTTAAAACTTGGAACTCAATGGTTCGGGTACTGAGTAACAACCTGAGAGAATCCCCTTCTCCAATAAAAGTTCCTTCTATTACTGGAAAGTGTCACTTTTTCCCTTTCTAGACCGTCTTAGCACAAAGCAAATTATCGAAACTGAATCAAATCTAAGTTCATCAACGAACCCAAACCAATTTAATCAAAACTCGCGGTTTTTGTTTTTAGTAAAGTAATTTAATTAGTAGATGACATTAGTGTATTTGATCTGGCATTTTAAAATTGTAAAACTCAGATTGTGCTAACACCCAACGAAATTACACAATGAACTTCATTATGCAAGGTAAAAATTTAAAACATTGTCATTATCTAACTTTTCATCTACTAACGGTTCTGGCTGAAGAATATGAGTTATCGTGTATGTGTGTGTAAACAATGAAGTAGCTCGATTCCATGTCCATCAAACGACAAACCGTTTCTTGCATTCTTCTCTGAATCTTTCAGAGCTTCATTTACAGTAGCTGCTATATCACTTGCTAGAGTTGGGAATCAGTCGGCTCCTGATTTAGAAAATAAAATAAAACACACACATAATGTCATTTTAGTGTTGTAACATAGAGTAAAGAGCTATGAGAGAGTTCTCACAATTGATGACCTTTTCTCACCTATGTTTCTGAAATCAACTCCAAAATAGACCTTTATTAATTTTTAATTTATAAATATTAAATTTTAAAAATAATTATGTTTATATTTATATTATTTAACATAATTTCTTTTATTCAAATATAATATTTATTTAATAGTATTATATGTTCACTAAAATTTACAGATTTAACATTTCTAGCATTTGATTACTTGGTGTTTTGACATATTAGAGATACATGTATTACAAGGCCGATGCACTTTAGATGCAATTTAACAGAAATAATACAATAATTTTAAATAAATAATAACAATATTTTTATATCATAAATGGTATATATATAATAATTATTAATTTNTAATTTATTTACATGATTCTTTTTAAGTTTTTATAAAGTTATGGAACTAAATTAAATTAATCTATAAATATTAACAATATGTTCACATTTCCAAGTCTGTCCACAGATTTTCCTTACCAAAATCAGATGACTACATAACTAATGTGTAAGCTCACTCATGCCCAATCATACACTGCTCTATATCATTTGCTTTGAAGTAAGTATACACTTTGATTAATTCTTTGAAAACTCGGGATCAGCTGGTTTATGAGGTATCGGGGGTACCATATGTGGAGATATGGAACAACTTGCTGCATTTTTTCTTCGATTTCGCAATGCTTTGAATACAAATCTCGACACATAGAGAGCTGCGTCAAGATTTAGTTGTGTTTATTAAGAAATCAGATTCATTTATTTGAGGTCACGTGTTTATTTCTTTTAAATTTAGTTAGATTCAAATATTTTTTTATTAAAATTACCTTTAATGGGTCAATAGTAGGTTTTCGGGATTTTACCGGATTATATATATGGCATCAGATCTACCGGTTCGACAATACGCCTGGGTCGGATATAAAATTACTTCTTAAAATGCTAAACATAATACTAAAAAACTTTCAAAATTATTATTTTTAAAAAATTATTTATAAATTTATGCAAATTTTATTAAAATGGTCAACAAAACACTTTGAAAAATGGTAAAAAAGATATAAAATTTTACGTTAATTTCGGATTACGTTTGCAATAGATTATTTTCAATTGGTAAATATGGTTTCAGAAAAAAAGAATAGTTTCCTTTTGAAAGTTATTTGGAAGATATCAAAACCATGCAAGACAATTTCCTCAGCTCGGAAATTATTCATGTACCATAAAGAATTTGAAAGCGCATAGTTTAGCACAAAGTGTTAGGACGTCATTATCTTTCGTTATTCAAATGGATAGAGAGTTACCAAATTGGTTCATAAAGTCATTTTAAGTCTGTTTCTAAGTTGACGACAAAAAAAAATATCTACATTTTTAAAATAGGTCAAAATAACAGTTACTTCTAAATCAAATAGAAACAAAAAAATAGTGTAAATTGATGGTTAAAACTATGATACAAATATATGACAGCAGAAACTCATCTTCAATTTAAAATTTACAATTCATATCGTTATTACATCTTAGTAACGAGAACACATTGTTCTTTAATATAAAATATCTATTATATTAAATCACATTTATCATCTTTAAATCTATTTCAAAAAAATACCACACTTTTGGGAAAAAAACATACAACTAAATTGTTAAGATTCAAAACAAAAATAATGGTAGTTTTTAAATAAATTTTGGATCAATAAGTGAAAAAACCATACCTACACTTTCAAACACGGATCAAAATATAACATTTCTCCAAACAACTTTCTTATTCAACTAAATATTTAAATATTTTTTAAAAAAAACAACTGGAAGATCTTCATACAGTTTTTCTAAGATATATACTTTTACAAAAATATATTATATTTTTTTTATAAAAATATTGAAATTTATAAATATCTAAATAATTAAATAATTGTGTAATTATTATTAAATAGTTATTCTATATTAGTATGAGTTTAATTTTGACTCATTATACATCATTATTTTTATTTGTAGTATTGAATAATATTAATAGCTGTTGCTTTTTAATATGGTTATTATATGTTTTCTGTCTTAGTTAATTTACACTAAATCATGTCCCGCGCGGATGCATAGATTTTATTTTTTTGGATGTATTCTATATAATTTAGTTTTATATAGTTTCGAGTTTGTCCAATTTGATTTTATGTTTAAAGAATAATATCAAAAATGTCTTTTACATTAATAGCGTCATGCAATATATTATGTAGATGTAATCATGCAGTGAAAGCACTAATTCAGTATGTTTGCTCGAAATGCAAAATCAAATTCAAAATTAACTGTTTGTATTAAAAAAAATCATAGTTTAATTACTTTTGATGTTAATAATTATCCAAAGATTTTAAAATAATATACAAATTTCTAGAATTTTTGGCCTTAACCTTTATATCATAGGTTAGGTCAAATTCAAACTTAATTTTGGTCTTAAATTTGTAAGCACGTATATTTTATGATGAAAAATTTTCATAAATAACTTAACAAATATTTTGGTAATTTGAAAGAATTTATGTATTTAAAATATATTTTAATTTAAATCAGTATTTTTGAATTCAACACTGACCGCGGTTATACAGGTGATCCGATAATTCAATTATTATTTTTCAAAATATCTTTTTTAAGAAATCACTAAAACCCGAGTCTAACCGATTAACTAATATTTAATATTTAAACCTGTAGAAATATGTTTATTTTCATTGTTTTATATATTATTTGAATTTTTTAATTTATCTAAATAATTTGAAGAAAGTTGTGAAAAATATTAAAAAGGGTGAGACCTAATATTTTGTATTGTTTGGACTTAAGATTAATGATAATGTTATTTGGAAACATGTATAGTAGTATAAAGAAATCAATATATTTTTTGAAAAATAGATAGTAGTATAAAGAAATAAATATAGAGGGTGTATTGAATTAGACATTTAAAGTGATTTGAGTTTTAATAAAAATTTAGATGATTTTGATGGTTTTGGGTAATTTTATATAAAGTAATTGTCATGATTTTATATTAAAATCCTCTGAAATTCTGTCTTAAACCGTGAGATTTAGATCATTGTATTTTTAATTAAGAAAATCCCCTAAGATCTTTTGCAGTCATTAAAATCCTAAGACTTAAAACATTTTTAGTAACAGTGGATTTGATATGATTTTAACAGATTGTTGTTTGAATAACAGATGATTTTAAATGATTTCAAATGATTTCAAGTGACTTTACATAAATTTCATGTTCAATAACACTAAATTTTAGAAAGCTTTTTAAAATTCTTAGTTGAATAACATGAGATTTTAATAAAAATCCAAAGTCTCTTAAAATCATTGATTCAATACATTCTTCTATTGTTTGGAAACATGTATAGTAGTATAAAGAAATGGATATTAGTGATTTAATGTATATTTAATTATAAAATAGAAATATGTATTTAATTTAAAAACTTACAAATTAAATATTAGGTCCAATTTAATATTTCTGTTTTAATAAAATATATATTATTTTATCATATCCTTTTCTGATTACGTCTTAAATTACTAATTGACTAGTTGACTAGTTGATTTCGTTAGCTAATTTAGCTTTTAGCATTTTCTAACATATATATATATATATATATGATTGTTCATGTGTGCATTCTCATTACACTTTTGTCAAACACATCTTCATTACACTCATTGTCATTGTATTCTTCTAGTATCATTAAAATGACTAGACCCATCATTTGTGTTATTCTGATAGCCGTCTTCGTTTTAGGTTTGCTTTACACAAAATCTATTTAAAATCAAGTCTTTTCTCTTGTATTTTTTTTTTAAAAAAAAGAAGCTGAAATCATGTTTGATATATTTATTTTAGGTATGGTGACGAAAGAAACAGAAGGAAAAAAAATGTGTTATACAACTATATCTTATGGTAATGAAGGTTGTGAATCTATGGTGTGTTATGCTGATTGTACTTTACAGCGGAAGGGATTCGGCGAGTGTGTGAGTCCAAAAAGTCCTAACTGCATATGCGCTTACCGTTGCCCAAATTGATTTTCTTTGTTATCTATAATCTAGTATCAATCACATTAATAAATAAAATGAGTAATAAAAATTGCAAAATTTAATTTGTCTTTTTTTATTTGAATATGGGCTCTGATTAAAAACATCGGTATGAACTTTTAAACTGCTACTTTTGAACACACTGAAGAAGTTTGCACAAAATATATAATTTTGATTAAATATCATTTGGGTCATTGTGTGGTATATACCAAAACTACTATCAAATATTCGATAGCCACCACTTTTTTGAATAGATCATGGCCATAGTACTCTCAATCAACTTAAAATAGGTTTGAAAACAAAATAGCCGCAAGATAACGATCCCATCACGACCATGAGCAGATTGCCTGAAATAAAATGGTCCTCAACTAAATTCTAAATGAGCTGCAACAGTTGCTCTTATTCATGTCTCATCGATCTCCGCCACCAGACAGTCGAGTCACATCGCCACCGTTGATCGCTCTGTTTCATCATCCGTTGAAACCCCTGATTGATGTTGTTTGTTCTATTTGTC